CAAAGTCTCACTATCGCAAGACTACTTTCGCCATTCCACAAAAATGTGTGGCGTTTACAGACTAAAACTAAAACTTGGCATAATCTCTTGTGCTGTAAGTTCGAAAGACAGCTGTCACTAATAACCACTTGCCACTTTATTCTTGCAAAGTGCCATTTACCACTGGCAACTTGACTGCCCAACCGCCTGACTCCCCGAATGTCTGACTGCTTGGCTTGGCTCGGCTTGACATTTGCAAATAACACAACGGCAGTGCATGCAATGCAGCGCCCTGGAATGCAACGAGCAGTGAGCAGCGACCAGCTATCTTTTAGCACCACACTGACTTGACAGCCCACCAAAGATCCATCTGTCCAACTCTGTGCGCTGATAATTCAACTCAAATTTGCGTATTTTAAAGTAATTTCCACTGTGCGTTTTGTATTTTGCAGCAGCCAATATGGTGCTGCGCCTAAAAGCCGACTACGCCAGGCAGCGGGCAAAGGCATTGGTAAATAGCAGACGCCAGTTGCGGCGCATTTTACACTTAAATGCACAAAATAATGTGCGCTCACACGCACAAGGCATAAACAAATACACAAACACACATATATATATATTGTATATACATACACATGCCACAGTGAGAACATCATTGCAACCGCCACCGCAATTCTAACTTTAAATGAAAAGCGCGGTTGAGTGAATGTTTTAGAAAGTGGCCGCGCAGCTGTTGCCACTGAGGCGAGCGCCAAACTGAAGGGAGCGACTAACTGACCGCGCGAGCAAGCGCGTAAGCGAGGCATTGACTTATCGCTTAGCTGTAAAACGCGCGCAAAATGTTACGTAACAAATGCTTATAAATATATGCCATTATAACGGCTTTAATTTATATAGCTGCATATATTTTGCGCCAATAACAACAACTGAAGATTTGCATATTGGCTTACTAGGCTTGCTATCAGGCAAACAATGCCAGCCGCGCGCTTAGCGTCGCCGCTTCTATTCCCACTGTTACCGCGCGTACACACTGTGCGCCATCAAATATTCACTCCCCAGCTGCGCCACAACATTTCACATTTCAACTGAAATCAAAGCGAATTTAATGCCGGTGCGCTGTGCACGCGTTAACCTTACTGCTCCCCCAGCGTCACAACGCGCTGTTGTATGCTACCGCATAAGGCTGCCATTGTGCGAAAGGTTGTGTTTGTGTATGCGCGCAGGGTCAGTCAACGTAAATATTTGTCATTATCTAGAAAATGTTTTTTTCCTCTTCTTCTGCGCTTTCAATTTAATGACTCTAAGCATTTGGATATGTCAGCGAGTTATTACTTGGGGAATTTTGCTACCGTGAAACCCTCAGCGTTTCATTTTCCAATGGCAGCACTTCATTGTGTTGACTTTACTACATTTACGCAGCAATGCACCCTACGCACTTTCACATACACGTAAACTACTCATACATTTGCAACCTTTTATAGTTACTGAACGCGTACGCGTTACTCATACGCCCTGTTGGCTCGTGCCTGTAGGAGGGAAGCGCTTTAGAAAAAGTGCGTGTTTAATGTGTGTGAGCGTAATAGCTAGCAGGATATTTATAGATATTAAATTGAGGCATTTAACTTTTACTTAATTTTTTTAAGTTTTTTGGGGAACAAATTGTTGTACTTTAATAGAATTTTGTTTATTATATTATAGAATATCTTCAAGAAAAAAAAAATGTTTTGAATTGGCAAATATTTTCCTTAGATGGAACGTATAATCTTAGGACGGTATTGAAGAGGACACCTAGTTGGACATACATTAAACATATTTTAAGAACACATAGTAAAATTTATGAAGAAAAAATTAAATATTTCCGAGCTATGCGCGGTCTCCAACGGCTCTAAAATAAAAAGTTCTTCATTAAAATTCCAAAAATTGACAAAATGGCCTTGTTCTAAAATAAAATTTTTGAATTTCACCAGCTACTCTCCAATAATAAGTTTCACCAGTAAAATCATCCGCTATAGGCAGGAGCATATAGTAATCATTTGATGTTAGGCTCGGAATATAAGATTAATGCATAAGAACCTACCAACGAAGCTACCGAAGCTTCTGGTGAGTCACTAGCAATGTGTGTGGCCTGGCGCAGTCCTGATAGAACACAATTACTAACTTTAGACGGTTCAATCGTTTGGTCATAACTCCCCATAGTACGAGCTGATGCCATGCCAATCCCACCAAACACAAAAAACCCCCAGCAAACCATTCTGACCGTCAAACCTGGCTTGGCGGCCGCAAAACGACATCACAAATCTTGGATTCGGAAAGATTTTCTGCATCTCAGTCCGTCAAAACGAAAATATTTTCTTAGAGATGTTTTATTTCATCTGTGTGCGCCTAAATTTATGTTATTACTAAGTTAATTTGGAAAGCATACTTGCCAACTTTTTCACAAACACTAATTTAACTACAAAATCAAATCATGCGACCCAAAGAGGCTTAACGCTACTTTTACAACAAAAACGACCAAGTTTGAGTTGTAGTTGTCACTGTAGCTGGTGTGTGTATGTGCGCGCATAGTTGCTAAATTTGAATCCCGGCAGACAGGATGTTGCACACACCGATTTACAGCTACAATATCCACACACACATACATTAGCAACAACAATTGCGACGCTAACAACAGCGCAATGAGCATGAACGCAGAGCGGCGCAGAAAAAGTGTGCAAAATACGCCAACAATTTTATTTGCTTGCGATGTTGCAACTAAAAATTCACAATTACAGTGAATGGCATGAAAATGGAATTGTTGTATGAGTGGGGAATGGCATGGAAATTGCATTCAATTGCCAAAATAAATGGACAAGAAGCGTTTAGCGCGCAAAGTTGTGTGCTTGCTTGTTTGTTGTCGCTGCTATTATTGTTGTTGTAGCAGCTATTTTCCTACCGCCATTATCCCTTTGCGGCAAATGTCAGCGCAACGTTGTTGTCCGTGTTTTCCACACTTTTGGTTTTGTGTCTTTGTGTGTGTGTTTGGGTTGCTTTAGCATTCTCATTTAATTGTTGTTGTTTTCATGCGCCTTAGTTGGCATTGTTGTTAGCCGTTGTCAGTTGTTGTTTTCACAGTTGAAGTGGTTACTTAAAATCTCATCAGTAAACGCCAACAGCTAAGCAAAAGCACACAACAACCAAAAACAGCAAAAAGTAACAACAATTAAAGCAACAAAAAAGGCAATCGGTTGTGTGGAAAAACACGTTGGCAGGATGAGCAATAAAAACATTCATTTCAAGTGCAAAAATAAATGTTAAGAGCAAAGTGGCAAAGTGTACAACCGCGTTGCTAGTAGTATTAAGCAACAACAACAAAAGCAAAAACAAGCAACAAAAAAAGCACTAAAATAAAATGAAACAGCAAATCAGCACTGCCACCATACATGCATGTAGGCACAGCAGAACCGTCTATGTGCCGTTCGCTGCTAGCATTTAGCATACCCTTAGGCGCAATAGTTTCGAACGAGCCAGAATGAGGCACGACGATGCGCTGGGCACTAAAAATGCCGCATAGTGTTATGGCAGCGGTGAAAGACTGAAATTGTCGGTCCGCAAAGCGAAGATAAAAATAAGCAAAAAAAAAAAGAGAAAACAAAAAACAACAGCAACAGCAACACCAACCGGAACAACGAAATCACAAAACAAATAAGCGTTAAACAATGAAGTCAAAATTGTTGCAAAGGCTAGGTACTTCTCGAAAAGGAGTTGCTTGTTGTTGTACAACTCGTTGTTGTTGTATTTTTAGCTTAGCATAGCGGGAATTATGCATGCGGTGAGGCATAAAAACCCAACAGGAAGTTGCAAAGGTAATAGGCGTGCTGCTGTTGTTTTTGTGTGGGCTTTTCTTATAAAATATTATTGCTGTTGTTATTTTTGGTAAATAACAAGGAAATACCGTTGCAGTTACGGCACACAAAAGCACAAAAACATAAACTGTGGTGCGCTTAGTGGCAAAATAATATGCGGAACAATGATTTTCGGTGGAGTGAATTAGTTTGTGGTGGAAATTAATATAATAAACAATTTCTAATTACATGCAGATAAATATTTAGAATAAATAAATAAGTTTAAGCCAACAATGGGAGTATGGGGTTTATTATACTATGCAAACAATTGCTTAGAGAGGAAAAAATAGAAGGCTTTTCCACGCCCATCTGTTGTTAAGCTGCATAAAAAAATATAAATACGGAAAGACTGCGAATCGCTGCTGAATCGCAACTAAACCGATGCATTTCTGCAGCAGAACCGGTGTTGAAAGGTGGATCACTTATGACAAAGTCAAGCAAAATAGTCATGGTCGAATTGCGATAAGGCGGGATGAGAAATTGTGTTTCACCAGCACAACGCAAGTCCACACACACATAGATAGTGACCCACCAGAAGATCCGTAAGCTTAGTTGGCAGGTTTCTATGCATCCACCTTATAGACCAGACCTATTACAAACTGATTTCTACCTGTTCCTGTATATGGCTAATGATTTTGGTGGTGAAAAATTCGCCTCAACAGAAGCTTGTGAAAATCGGCTGTACTAGTTTTTTACCATTAGGGCGAGGGTGCAAAATGGCAACATCGTTAGCAAAAACTCGATTTTTTTTATTCGTTACAGTTGCTATCAAGAGCCATATACCGATTATAGCGATCTTCCAACTTTTCTATAAAATTTTTGTGGTACGAATTTTTTTGTCTTTAGCGATAAGTTTTCGGCGGACATTGTCTTGCGACCTGAGATCAGCAGGAGGCCAGATCTGCAGAATATTGTCGATTGTGAGCTCGCACCGTATCCACTTTGTACAGAGCTTTCGCTTACTGAAATATTCATGTACGATTTGTCCAACATGTTCCTTTGATATCCTAAAAGATTTAACTATCTCGAGCAACTTCATTTGACAGGCCATCTAGAATTATTCTGTGCATTTTTTTTGACGATTTTGTGCGTTAATAGTCCCGTTGGACATTCATTGCTTTCATCGTCTGTCCCCGCTGCTCTAATGGTCTGCTCGCTTTTAAGCAAACCATTAATGAATGACGCAGAGCCCGAATTACACTCGTCAAGCCACTTTTTGGAATCAGTATATTTTTTACTGTGGTTGACTTTCGACTGTACAATAACTTGCTATCGGAAATGCTTTGAATTTATTGAGCATAAAAGTCAAAAGTCAAAAACAAACAATATATATTTATCAAATTTTGGCATTCCGAGTTTAAAATTTAATCGCCAACAAATTTCTAAATTTTAAACAACATTTAAAATTTTTTCCCGATCATAATAAAATCAAAGCAGAAAAGTGAAAATAAATTATACAGATTTCATATTGTAGATATTATGAAGCATCAGAAAGCGCAGAGACAAATGAAACAATGTTTAGATCTGGTCAAACTAATAAAGAACAGGCCCAGGCCGCAGCCATACTATTGTCGCCGGAGCAGCCACGCTGGACGAAGCCGCAGAAATGAAAGCAATTGCTTATTCTATAACGCGAAAAGAAACTTTCATCGCTCGTGCATTTTCAACTGTCATAATGCACATCCTCAAGCACTTGAATCCAGTCATTCGTCGTTTCACATAACGAACCATGACTCTCGAATTAACAGTGATTTCAGTAGTGCTGAAGAAATCAGCCGAAAAAGCAGTGTACATTCGAAATCTGAAGTAGAATTATTTAAACTTGAATCGCAAGTAACGGTGCTGTCAAATGGATTAGTCAATGAACTAAGCAAACATTCAAATACAACGCTAAATACAAGTAAATTGCCGCAAGAAACGCAAGAAAACGCAAGCCCTTGTTGTTCGAATAACAGAAAATCCAACACTGAAGAGACTATGATTGAGCCCATACCCAACGATGGGGTGTCTATTGCCGAGTCTGTAGCGAACTCCAACGAAGCAATCGCATCCGTAGTAAATAGTGCAGAAAACACACTCAATGCCAGTCAATCAGCGCAAGAACACGAAGCTACAACAACTGTGGCTGAACATACCGTTAGTAGACAAATATTGACCGATGAAGAAGCGGGCGGTGACGGTCATCACAACAACTCAGTCATCGAAATTGAGATCACATTACTGTCTGGTAATGATACAAATTCGGATGAAGAGGATGAGGGCGACGGCGAGGGCGAGGGCGATTTTGAGACGCCCATGCCGGAGGAAAGTAGAGAGTGAAGGGTGTATAAACTTTTAAACCAGTGTTCGTGAACAAAATATAAATGCTGTATACGAATAAATATAAATTTGTAAAGTTTAAACCAAAGTGTATCTGATAAGATTTTAGCTACAGATTTTTAACTTCCAACCGTGTCAGGTGATTAGTAGCTCATGCTAGTCGTGTAAAAAGTACAAAGATAACAATACGATTGAATTGAAAAAATTGTTTAAGAAAAATTGCAATTATAGAGAAATCTCAGAATCCCAGTTTAGAATAACCTAAGAGGCACCTAAGTAATTGGATTATGTTGTTGGTTATTGTGGTGGTTGTCATTGTTATGGTTTTGGTGGAGATACATAAAAAAGTACATATCCTTATATTCTACATTGCTACCACGTTGACAGTCTTTGGACAGAGCAAAATTGTGGGTCCGTTCTGATTACGTTGAACCAACTATCGACGAAATGGAGTTTTAACATCCGTTATGTTTGGGTGGGTTCATCTTTATAAATGATATTCATCAATGCCTTGAATCCAGCTATATCCTAGAATTGAATAACAAAGCTGACACTGACAGGTCCTATTAAACCCTTTAAGACCTTAGGAGAGAAAAGGATCAAGTAACATTCCTTTATTATTTCTTATTTACTAATACCACGAAAAAAACTTTCTGTTTGAGGTGATCTCTGCCTACTTACTCATTTTGATAAAACTTTTGTTAATTATTCTAAAACCAGACTTGAAGACGGAAGACAGAAGTTAATGCTCTTATAAAATTTACTATTTGAATGAAACTATGAGTTCAAATATTTTTCAAAGAGCGATGTGAACCCTAGAAACTGGGAGCGCTACCTTTTTTACTTAAACATCACAACTAAAAAAAATATTTTAAGAAATTTTTTTTTTGAGTCGAGGTTTTTTAAACTAAACTTGATAGAGTTCGAGGCCCATATAAAAACCTCTGCACGTGGGCGTACGGCAACTTTACACTGATCTGACACAAGGCGATACTCCCCGAAAAACCGCGCCATTTGAGCAGTTTAGAGCGAACTCCAAGGGCTCAAAAATTCAATCGCCGCTCAGATCTCATAGCCGAAACTACTACCAGTTCCCTGCCTTACTGCTCTAGACTGGCAACCACGGGTTGGACCCTATACGTGCTTTACACGCACACACCATTCACACATTAAGTGTTAGGGTTCACTCAATTAAACGTCTCCGCTGTCTAGCAACTCACGAGCAAACATACCAAACAAACCTCACTCTTCGGCATTCCGACTAGTAGAGATCACACTGTTAACAGCTAACCGTCTTTCAGTCCATGCAATCACCAAACCCTAGATTTCTAACGTCCGCGTACATTGGGCACTCCGCGATTACAATCACCCAATCTTAAACACACCATCAACCTTTTTAAGCGCAATAGGTACAAACGATGTAGGTTTCAGAACGATATAACCGGATCTACTTGCTTTCACTTCTTGTATAAGCCATCTCAATTTAAATACATTTTGCGAGGGAGCCGAAGAACAAAGAGCAAAGCAACATAAAAGAAGGTTACAATTTCTGGCTGAATTGAAGTCGCATGCCGATAGTAATGGAGTAGATAATAAAATAAATAATACTGAAAGTGTAAAAAAGGTTTACAGAGAGCATTTCCTGTAGCTCCCACTGGAGCATAAAGTGATACAAAGATTAATTAATCAAGACAATCTTACTGTTACAACTCTACTCCGCTCTAACTGTTGGAACTCTTGATTATCCACTTATTCTCTCTTACTCGCTTTCTAGTATAAAAAAGGTTATATTGCTTTTGAAACCTTAGCTTTTATTTTGCTTTGTCAAACGAAATCTCTCCCTCCATAACCCGCTCTCCCGTTAAACTATCAGTCTTATACGGTGGTCTTTCCTTTCCACCTAACAACTGTTTTATTTACAAAGTTTGCTTTTTTAGCAGTTACCCTTCAACGACAACAACAACGAACTGCTTTTGACTTTTTTATCGCACATCGCTCATCTGCGCACAATTTAACAAATTATCAGATTAAAGACTTAAACACCATGACAGCAGCATACTTCAACTTCGGTCCGGTGAAAGCTAAAACTTTTGGAAAAAACATGTATTTTTGCTGCTCGCCAACAAATTAGCCTACAATCAGGCGACGAAACGGACTTGCATAGCGACAACTTTACAGCTAAAGCGCAACTAATTTGAGTGTGCGTTGGCGAGGCAACTGTGTAAATGAGCGCATGTCAACGCGATGACACAAATAGTCCGACCAACAAAAAAGCAGCGCGCGAGAGAAAGAAACAAAGGAAACTTAACAAAAAAAAAAAAGTGCAACAAAATCGCATATAAATGAGAGCGCAGCAGCGTTGCCAGCAGAAAAAAATTTAAACAAAAATTTATACAAAACAACAAGAGCACAAACAACTATTTAATTCACTAAGCAGTGCGGCAGTTCGAAAAAGTAGTAAAACAACAAAAACAACAAACAAAGAAGCGAGCTAAACAATAAGATTTGCACGCGAGCGCGTGTCCAAACAAAAAAGAAAAAAAAGAAAAACAACTCGCGGTCGCGCGCTGGTTGACAAAGCGTGTAGCAAACTTTCACCAGTCAAATAGCAGTGGACAGCGCGATAAGCAGAAGGGCACGCCGAAACAAAATAAAAAAAAAAATGTTATGACTTTATGCTTGTTTCAATTTTATTTTTGCAAATTAGTGCCCTACACGCTTGAGTACGCGCGGAAGCGCTAAGGAGGGCGAGTGAAAATGAAAGCGCGTAAGCGCAGGACGCGCAGTACGCGCACTAAAGGGTCAACGAAGCGAGCATACAAGCAGATTAGCAAAACAACATATATAGAATACAATGAAGAAAGGACACCTCGAGCAATGAGAGTTACAGTTAGGGGACTAGAAAAAGAAGCGCGCTGCAGCGCGTCGACAACTGAGCATAAATCGAGTGGTGCGGCGCTTTGCTACACGCTCGTTACGCGCGCTAATACAAAAATAAGGCACTGGCTCGTTGTTGACCACGCACACACACACACAAAACTACTAAAGTAAAAGCGCAACTGCGTAGCGCCTGCAAGTATACTTCTTTTTGAACTTAATTAGCAGGGAATTAACTAACGTCACACCGCGCGCTGCATCACAAAATGAATACATGAAAAAGAAATTATAATAAAAAAAAACTTGTGATATAATTTAACGCGTTGCTCAGCCGCACACAACCGCATATGCAACTGTAGGCACAGAACAGCTAATCTCACATTTCTAGCACCAGCAATTCTCCGCACACCTGCTCTTATCTTAATTCAACCTGAGCGCGGTGAAAAAAATTCAACGTGGAAGCGAACCCGGAAGTTGAGTGTTGACCCGCGCTGTGTGCTGAAGGAAATGCCATGCTGGCGGCGCTGACAGCCGCTGACACGAGCGTCGGAAATGTTGACGGTGTACTTACTTGTGAGACGTTTGGGAGGGGGTGGTGAAAAAATTTAGATAACACGTCGTGCGCGCCACATGTACGCGCACACATATACATAACTCGCTTACTTGCGAAGGACACACTGACTCATAGAAGTGTACAGACTCACAGGCAGTGTCCTCGGCAAGTAAGCGCGTCACCGTGGCAACTTCGATGTGTCGTATTTTTAGCGCAACCCTGGCAACTTTTCATAAGTGCGTCTTTCATTAAGTGCAAGCGTTTGCTACTATTCGTTCACTGTTCTCATTTTCAACTTAAATGTGTTTTAAATTGCTTGTACTTAAACCGGGAATGTGAATTTTTCACATATGCGAAGTGACTAACATAAGTATACAAGTGTTTAAAGAATGATATTACAGGAAAACTTTAGACAATAAAAAGATGGCAACATTAAAAATAAATACTGTACAATTCACTCATTGACTACTTAATCGCGTTATCCAATTTTTAAACAGACTATAAAACCTACGTCTCTGAATCTATTCAAGCTATTAAACTCAAAATTCATCAGTTTCATCTAATCTACTTAAATGACACTATCACTTCACTGTCACTCTACGCTCCCACACATCATCCATCGCGCCAATTTGCGCAATCAAATCATCTTAATGTACGTAAGCCCTTTAAAATGTCGTTGTTCTCCCCTCGGGTAATCTCTCTAATAATCAAACCCTCTAAAGCTGAGACTACGATAACCTCTTAATTTCTATTTTATTTATTACATTATTATCAACATACCCACGCTTTAAATCGCTTGTCGGTGCAAACAAATAGATATTTCGGCGTAATATTGTAAGAATATTCCGTCTCTCTTTTCTTTGTCTATAAGTGGTTTTGAGGTTAGCTCTTTGATTTCATCGAAAAGACCAAGGCAAGCGTCGTCGTGTCTTTTTAATTAACTTTGAAAAGACAAGCTTAATCTTGAACATTTTTTAAGTAAAACTTCATATTTATCGTTTCAAATTTTTTCGTCCATCTGTCGGATGTCGCATGTCGCATTACAGCTCTACATAGATATATAATTACATATGCACTCATCATCATGTGCGCAATGCGATGCTCGAGTTCAAATCCTGGTCAAAGATTTGTTTTTTCGTATATTCTCATATTACATTTTTTTGTCTATCAAAGTTGATCGCAAATATGAACATTGATGCTTTTGTGATTTGTTTTCAGCGGTCAATTGTTTGAATTTATGCGCTTGCGTTTATTAATGGAAATCATTTTGTAATTTTTTTACTATGAATATTGTTAATATTGTTTTCTTGTTTGTTGTCATTGTTCTCCCAAATTCCTAAATTAGTGACTCATTATGTTAACTAAACCATTTTTCGAATGGAGTTATTTTTTTAATGGAGTTATTTGGATATCTAAAAAGGTCAGCATCCATTCAAATGAATTTTAGTGTCGACTAGAGAGAATGATATTGATTACTTGTAGTCATTGCTGTTGTGGGTCTTATTATAAAAATGCTACAAGTGTTATTCAAGCATAATAGAGATTATTTTTAGACGTGAGGTTTTCTATGAGGCAATACTTTTTTCGGAGTTGGTCGTTTTGACTGCTGTCACTTAATTTATACTAAATGTGGTTTATCATTTCATAATGCAG